AATACTCATAGACACGAATTACTGCAGAATCTGCCCAGACAAGGGAAGTTTCAGGTGCCCCTGGATGCACATTTTAAGTTTTGTAGACTGCATTAGCCGGTTCTGTGGAACTGGAACAATAAGTAATTGAATATTCAAGCAGCCCTTAAGAACTGTATTACCTGATGCAAAATTGTTGCTGCAGTGGATTTTTGAAATGGTGAAAATACGAAACTTTTACAAAGGTGAAGATTTAGAGATGTTGCTAAAATGATGCCATTATCATCCCCAGGTAACTGTACGGCCTTTAAAGAGGTAAAAAAGTGTAAGAAGTGGAAATCAGACTAGAAATTAATAATGTTTCTTAATGATCATCAGCTCAAGAGTACTTAGGGCTGGGATTGTTAAATGAGTCTAAGGTAGCTATATGCTAAGTTTAATGTGATCTGGGGACTTTGGAGGATTTAAATGCCTATTTTGTTTCTCTTGGGTTTCTCTGAAATCCCAGCTTTTCTCTGTACACTCGCACACAGCAATTGTCTGTCTGATAGCAGGAGATCCTCCTCTTTGTGCAGTATGTACCGTGGCAGTCTGATCTTGGCTCAGACCTGCAACTGCTGCCTTTGTCTCACATTTATCAGAGAAATTAAGCCCTGCCCATTCCATAATTTATATACTGCAGCTGCTTTTCCATCAGAGTCACCCAGCACATGCCTGAGCTGTTTTGTATCTCTTGCTGTGCTGGGGACTACAGACAGTGACCCAAAGTCATTGTCCTGGCAGCAGGTATTACCCTCATCCCATGCTCGCTGCTTCCATCCAGACATCCCATGGGCAGTGGAAGAGAAAACATCACGAGCAGCACTGGTGACTGGGAAACTGGCCCTACATGGCATGGAAAGAGCTGCAGTAAGGGACTGGTGTGGAAAAGGCTGTATGGCCTTTCCTCAGGTCTGCTGCTTGTCATAAATGAGATAATGTGAGACTATGCCAAAAGGCAACAAGATAGGGTGTGTTTTGTGATATTACAGAAAGGGCAGGTCATAAACATTACAGAGAGGAATTAGCTGATGCCCTCATGTGAAGATACTAATATGTGGGCTGTTCATTTATAAAGATTTTGTTGGATTTTTTTCAGATTCCCTCCACTCCACTGGCTGTGTTTACAACTTCCTTTTGTCCTGTTCTGCCTTTTCCCAACCAGTACACATGGTACTTTAACTCATATCAAAATCCTTTCCACTCCCTTTAGCAGACTTGTTGGGACAGTGTCAGGCACTATGTCACTCCTACCAGCCAGAAAATCCTTCCAATAACTTTAAAGAGCTCCTTTCACATCTGCTGCATTCATACCTCCCCAAATACACCCTCTGCCTCACAAAGTCTGGGATTTGAATTCCTGGCTGTTACTTTGTTCAGCAAGGTGTTCCTGGCACGATGAGCTGAGTAAGAGATAAAATAAGCAGGTACAATCTGGCTTATGCAAGATAAAATGATTTGCTGATTTTCAGATTAGCTCTCCTGTATTGTTTTACCTTGTTTCCCATCATCTCTTGGATAATAGAAATTGCTACTTAGCTCTCTTTTGACTGGTTTTGGATCTCACTTTTGATGTTTATGTAGTAGATATTTCCAGTTTAGGTGTTACTGAATCAGTCTAAGGACCTGATAGCTGAGTTGGTTAAAGAAGCTTGATTTTAGCACTCTGCATGGGCACCACGTTGGTAAGTGTTTTGATTCAATAATAGTTTCATTTAAGAGCACTTTCTATATGTTACTGAGAATAAGAGGTCTACAGAGTACATAACATCAAACACTGGAGAGAAGGAAGGTAAGAGAACTGGACACTGTGCAAGATGTGCAGAAGAGTGTACAGATGTGGAAAAAAAAACCCCAATCTCCTGTTTTCTGTCTTCAGGGAGTTAATGATGAGCTCAACAGTTAAATCCTATTGAGCTGTTCTCATTGTTATAGAGACATACTGCTCCTCCAGGAAAACATATTTGTGCTTATTATGGATCACTATATTTGGTTGCACCCAATACATCAAAATAATCTAGGCAGGACCACAAGATGGTAAAGAAAAAATATTTTTCTTCTAAATACTGGATCTTGGTGTTTTGGCTTGTTTGTTTTTCTTTTTTTTTTACATTTCTACAGGATAAGTCTGCTCTGTGATCACTTTTTTTGCTTTTCCTTTTTTTTTAAAATAAAACATTTATTTTTATTCAGAAACAACAAGCTACAATGTTATTACTTTCAGGCCTTTGTTTAAACTGTGATTACTACTTTTGCAGGATATGTCAGCAGGAATTACTAATTTTAAGCACCTATAAAAATGATGGGTTGAACTGATCCTTGACACAACTAATAACTCCCCAAGCCCTGCAATTAGTCAGCTATAGGATGAGTATGAATATACTAGCTAGGCTTAATTGCATATAATCATTGAGAATCAATAGTAAAAGAATGGTGCTTGCCCTTGATTGCCAGTGGGTAGAACCAATAATTGTGATGTTGTGTTAATTTAAGTCTACTTTCCTTTTCACCTGCTTGAACTCATGGGATTTTTTAGCAGTTTCTCTGCCTGCCTTTCTGGAACTCATTTTTCATTTATGACAAATTTAAAATCAGTGGGCCAGAGAATGAGAGCAGTGGAACATGGGAGATGCAACAGAAGGAAGGAGTCTGAAACTTACCTAAACTAAAGTACACTATAACAAAAACTACTACACCAAATTGTGCCTCATCCTCTAAAACAGAATGTTACTGATCTATGTGACAGTGTGACTCAGTTCTGACAAAGGCAAACAGAGTCCTGTCTGCCAGACAGTGCCCAGTTTAATTTCAAATCTCATGGTCACCCCTGCATCACCTGCCTCCACATGGGTGATGTGACAGACAAACAGACAGGACTGAAACCTGTCCCCACCCTGAGAATCCTGACACTGCTCACCTCCACAAACCCCAGCTCAGGAATTATTGTCAGTGCTCTCAGCTGCTCCTCTGAATTGCACTCATGCATCCCCCCTTCCAACACCAGACCCCCTCACAAGGATTCAATTCTCTTGTGTCTGAAGCTTTGGCTTTTAAAGAGAGACTGGATTTTTTACTAAATCTTGAAACTCTCCTTCTCCTTTCAGCATCTGAAATCAGTCAGGGGATAAGAGAGGAACACTTGGTGGAGTGATAAGTAAGCACAACTTGGTGCTAGGTGCTGCCAAGCTCTTCCTGGCAGCTTTGTAATGTGCTCATGCCAAAGAGATGTTGAAAGCTGGCAGTTACGGTTGTACTTTGTGGTGCAGCTCATGGCAGAGAAAAAGCTACACTGAAGAAGGCAGCTCATTCCAGGCTCTTCCCCTGACCTGCCCATACCACATTACCTGTGCCTCTGTCCCCTGTATCACCACAGTCTAGATTTAGTGTGCTAGGTTGAAATAGAAGAGGCTATTCCTTACAGAGTTTTCACAGTGCCAAACACAGTGGGCTCACATTTTGGAACAGACCCGTACAACTGCTATTAGAACAACATTCTAATAAGCCCTTGGCTGTGAGGTAGTCCACAACAAGTGCTCTTGGACTCCTAGATTAAATATTTTTACACACACACAAACACACACACACACACACACCCCGCTCTTGTGATCATGCAGAGTCTAAATGGAGCACAGGAGTCATGATGTCCCTTGGAACAAAAGGGAATTTGACGTTCCCCCGGTAGAGAACACTTAAGTCTGTTGTTACTTTTGAAGACTGTCCTGCTATGAAAGGATAACATTTCAAAAGATTTCACCCTGTAACAGAGGAAATGGGAACCTAATTGCCAGATGTTTCTGCAGGAAAACCTTTCTCTTTCAACGTTCTTCTGAAGAGTGATTAGAAGAACAGCTTGCTGGGGGGGGGCAAATATTAGTTTTGAAAAAGCTGGTCTCAAGTCAGTGCTGCTTCCTTAAGCCACAGGTATTTATTCATTACAATTCTACAGCAGTGCCAATAGACAGCATAAAGCCAAATAACCCCTCAGTTATAAATCTTTCTCCCTGAAGCAATGATAGGTACTTCAGTTACAATTTGCCAGCCCTTGTAAATGTGTAGGACTACACCACTTCCATTTTATTCTGGGATTCAGTCCAGTAAGGACAGATGATCAAATCTAGATCTCTCATCATTCTAATGTCATTTTACCTCTTCCATCTGTGTGTGGCTTAAGAATGTTCCCCAACAAAAAGCAATACAGAATGTACCAAACCAAAGTCAGACCTTAAAACTAAGGGCAGCTCATGTCATCTCCATGGCTCTGCCTTCTCTCCCTGCCCCTCCTCTCAGGTCTCTGTGCCTAGCAGGAGTGACAGTGGTGAGATGAAATTATTTATTTGTTTTTGTCACAGTAGGGTAATTTGTCCAGTCTGCCCACCACAGGCTGTTTCTGCTGGTGCCCGCACAGGGAGGAGAACCACACAGTCACTGAAAAAGAGCTCAAAGCACCATGCACCAGGCAGGCTGGTCCTGCTGTTCCATCCTCTACCAAATTTCAAGCAATGATAACATCCCTTCCAGATGACTCTGCTAGCAACTAGGATTCAAAGCTGTGTTTGTTTCTGTCATCCCTGGTTGGCTTTTAACTGACTTACCACTTAATTGCAAAAAACACTGGCAGAAAGCAAGCTGCCTTCAGTTTCTTGGCCTTGATTTTCAGTGTTATTTAGATTCCAAATAGGCATCTATGATGGCACACCAAAAATATAAAGAGAAGATAACTGTGATTTTGACCACCTTCCATGAAGCATTCCTGACTGGGTTACTGTTCTGCACAGAAACCTATCTCTCATTTCATAGATGGATTTTACTCCTTTGCTAAAGAGACTTCAGAAGAATCCCCTATGTGTTGTTTGAGCCCTGAAAATGAAGCCAAAAGTCATTTGAAGGATGAATAGGGGTTGTGGATAAGGGTATTCTGTTTCCCACACCTTTTCTGATACAATTTTCTGCTCTGCCACAGCTATTTTATTTTTCATTTCTAGTTTTTTCTAACAGAATACACTGGGCCTCTTCTCATCTATCTGCTCTTTTACATTCGACTCTCGACTATTTATGGTCAAGTGGAAAGCAGGAAGAACTTCCGTCACCCAGTGGTTCAGTAAGTGACACTTGTGTGAATTATTTTCCCGGATCATGAGAAACCAAAGGGGTGGAGATTGCATTTCCAGAGGTGAGGATGTTACAGGGGGTCTGAGGCTGCCTGCCTGGGGTCAGATTCAGTTATTGCCAATACTTGTTTGTCCTTTTACCAGCACTCATAATCTTGACCAAAAATGGGATCCCAGCAATGGTCACTGCACCTGATTAGCATGGAGATGCAGTGTTCTCCCCAAATACGTTGACATCAAGTCAGAAAGTGAAATAACAAGCACAGTGGGTAGTGACCCAAAGAAGATTTCAGGTGCCCCACTCCCAGTTTCCTTATAGCACATTGCTGCTCTTGAGATGAGCAGCATTAACATCCAGCACAGAAGATAACTACCCCCACACCAGCTCTCACCTAGGCACAGGGAGGAGGAAATTCAACAGGTGTGCCTGTCATGCATCAGGTCAAGAAACAAACAAGAAGCATCTCCACAGGACAGCACTAGAATGCACCAGGCAGACTGGGAGCTTTCACACTTAAAGGAACTTTCCTTCCGTGGAACTGTCCCCATTCTGGGTGATTAGTGCCTGGCAGCAGGGTGAAAAGTGATCAAGGAAAGCCTGTCACCAGCATAAGCTGGGCCACTTATAGGAGGGTACACAGGGACCTAGGAGGCTCTCAAGCACTGTACAGCTTTCCCACACATTTCTTCCACACTGTGATTGCAGAATCAGGGGAACTGGTACACAGCAGAGAAATACAGTGAGTAATAATGCCGTTTACAGATGGAGGAACAGGCACTTGGAGAGACATTAAGGGAGTTAGTGGAGCTGGGAATGAGAACACAGTATAATTGAATTCAAATCCAGAGCTGCAGGATGCTTGTCTGCCTTCTCTTGTGCATATGCTTAAGAGGGGAGAGTTTCTGGCAGCACAGAAGAACCTTCAATGCCTTTTCCTTCTTTTATGTGGGCAAGGGTTGTGCAGAATCCTGCCAGTGACCGCTCCTTAACGGGTTCATCTGAGGACCCCATCCTAAGCCAAATTAATTTTAAAATTTCCAGCAAAGCTGGAAGTTTGCTCCAGGCTTTGGATAAGTCATTAATTGTTCAAAATTATTTTAGCTCAACTCTCTCTGGCTTAATTACTTTGAAATTTTTTAATCTTTGACTTTAGCTACCATACACGATGCATAATAAAAATATTTGAGGTTTCACATGCTGAAAACAACTTTTCATTTATGTCTTATAATTGGTTTGCAGCAAGATGTGCTATGGTAGTACGGTAAATGTAACCAAGATAAAATGTCATCAGGAATCACTCCTGACATTTGTTTCTGAAACTCAATCACTACAAGCTGCAGCTCATTCTCGGAAGCAAATCAGCAATGCCTGTTATTGTTCCATAATCTTCCTCAAAAGAGAATCAATATAATAATTTCTATCACAATTGCCTCATTTCTTTATAACAGGCAACAAAAAAGCCATCAGAATGGATTAACTTAGCAACAAAATCTCATTTTGCGTCCACAAGGAAATGAAACACAAACTACCTCCATGCAGCTACTTGAGTTGGCAAAGGACAAGGAAACCATTCAGAAGATATTCAGAGTGTTTTTAAATGTCAGACACATCCTACAGGAGCATTAAGGTGGCCTTAAAACATGGGAGATGCCTGGCTGTATACACAGCTGTCCTGTCTAAATGTCTTGTCAGGACTATGTATCACATTCAGAGCTCAAGGAGCTCTTTTTATTTCAGGGCTGGTAAAAGTAAGTTGCTTCCATGCAAAATGCAAGCAACTTTGTATAACACTGAAAATGATTCCATTAATCTTTGGTTCCAGATGCTTCAATTAAGACAATATCTTAAATCTCACAATTTTAATGTGACTACACTTTTGGAATATTAGTTCTTATTCCTTCCATGACATTAAATGTGAAGTAATAAAAACAACCTTTCACTTACCTACTTACCTTAATTTCCTTTTTAAGAGAGAATATCCTCATATCAAAGTAGTCCTTGGAAGAAGATAGGGAAATAAAAATTAAGTTATTTTGTAGCTCCAGGAATTATGTTCAGTGAAAATGCAGATAACAGGCAGGATTTCAGGACTATGCCCCCAAGGACATAAATTGAAATCAATGTCCATTTTAGCTCCTGCATGTAAATGTCCACTTTGACTCATTCACCCAAGGTGCTGATTGTCATATCCAGGATATTTTTCAGACTGAATGCTGTTTCACGGTGATAGCTGTTGAAACATCTAGTGGTGCTGAGAGAAATTATACACTGCTTCCTTGGTGCAATATAAGTACAGAGCAAGAGACAGGCCTTGTGCTAGGAAGTGAAAATCAAATTACAAGTAGGAAAAAAAAAAAAAATCAAGAAAATGGAGGCCTCAGGCAGGAAGATACTGAGCTGGCCAGGTCTTCTTTCTTCAAAAGCTTCCTGAATTTCAGCTGTGTGTCATTACTCACAGGCCTTCTTTTCTTTTATTTCACACACTCTGTCTTGACCATTTTGTGTCAGCCCTCCATCCCATTCCGTGTGATGTAAAGACCCTCCCTTTAAACCCTCCCTTTAGGGTTTTGGTGAAGGAGATTAACACATGGCTACAATATGGGGCTTCTTTTTACTCTTTCTTGTTTTGTCTGAGTTTAGCATTCTGTTTGTCTTGCTCTATCTTGCTTGGAAATGCTGGATTTCAGGTACAGGAATCAGCCCATGACTTTTAGTAGCACAGCTCATAGAAATGTGATCTTCACCAGTAAAATCAAAAAAGGAGAAAACAAGTGCCAATTCCTACAACAGGAATAGAACACATTCAACAACATTAAAAAAAATAAATCTACAATCTCTCCCCATTTTTTTTTTTTACTGGCTTCATAGCATCTTAGAAAGATATATATTCTAAGGCACACAAGCAACTGCAAAGATTTTCAGTGGTCACCTGGGTTTTGCACTTGGCAGAATTTATACTTATAAAGTTACAGTTTGTACTTCCTTATTGCCCTTTCAAAAAAATTATCTGTCTGTTCCAGGGCTGTGCCTTTTACTGGGGATTCACATCCTGGATCGCATACTACATCAACCACCCACGGTACACACCACCATGTAGGTATGGGTACGACACAAAACTGACAAACTCCCTTTGAAAAAGTCCGTGCCGTGTAACCCTGAAGTCCTCCAAAATCAAGAAACCGGTCCCACATCAAATCATACGACTGATGTAGCCAGAATTTAGGCTTTGCTCCCTGTCAGGAGGAAGATGGTTGTGTTGGAAGCACCTCTGCTTTGTGCCACTGAATGTTCGTGCCTGTTCAGCAATGGTCAATCGCTGTGCAGTTTATGAACACAAAATTTTGGACAAGTGAGGAAAACACAAAGATCAACATATTTTGCTCATTTTCACAACATTTGTATTAAAGAATGCAGGAGAGAACTAGAGCTGGTTATGTCTTCTTGGAAGGGATATTTATTTGCTAAAGATACATCCTTTTCATGAAAATTAAGGTTTGTTTTTTTTTTTCCCCTGAGAAACCAGTAAAAATCCATCACATACTGCTAATAACAGAAAGATTTGGTTTTTTAGTTTTCAGATTTCATCCATCATTTTGCTCCCTCTCATCATATTTTATTGTTGCACTGCTGTTTCTTCAAGATTTTTTTTTCTGTTTGCTCTCTGGACTTTCGTTTCTTTTGAGAATAATTGGCACGGGTTTTATTTTATACTGCTTTACTTTCCTTGTTACACCTTAATCTTTCTTTTCCTCTGTATCTCAGATTTATCTATGAACTTCGGGGAAAAAGCATTTGCTTTGCCATTTTTGTTAACACTCAGTTAAATTGCTAATTTCTTTCAATTAAAAATTTCTCCTACATGACACATGCTTTTCTTTCAAACTAGCACAAAAGTTCTATTTCAAAATTATGTGATGCATTGGATGACAGCTGCAAACAATGTAGAAACCTTCCCAGACACAGTTTTTAGCAGTCTGGGCTATCAAATCAATAAGTGCAGCTTCTTTATAGGGGAAACTATTGTTCAAGACAGAAAAGAGGAATCATCCAGAAGAAATGTTTCTTATTGCTTGCCTCTGCCTTAAAATGCCTTTGGCACCACAGAGGAGTCCTGTGCCAGCCAGGGAAAAGGAGTTTTCAAAAGAAAAGGTTTTGATGATACATGGCCAAGGCTAGTGAGGTACATACACATGGTTTGTGCCCCCAGCTGTGGCCAAGGTTTGCTTGGGAACTGTAAACCTTTGGACATGACTTGGTAGAGCCCTACACTGGTCTGGGAGCAGCCACAGAAAGGACAGGGCAGCCAGATGGCAGGTAAAATTTACAAATGTTAAATGTATTTCTCGCATGACAATGAAGCAGGTAGTGGCTGTGTAGTAAAGCCTCACTACTAAAGTAAAAAAAAGGTAATGGATAGGTTATGTATTGAGTTTTCTGCTCTTAGAAGGGTCTATGGATAAGGCTGCAATTCTCAGTCTGATTTTGACACTGACCTTCATTCCATTCCTCTTCTTGCCTTTTCAAAGGATTCACCATCACCAGCTGCTTTGACAAAACACTTGAAGCTATATGAAGGCTGGCAAATACTAAAAACAGTTGGGTGAAAACTGTCTTGAGATCAGTGGTGTAAAAACTGGCATTTCTAGAGCGCTGTTACTGTTTGTATTGTCTTCCTATTGTGTGTGATAATAACCAATCTTTCTGCAGAGCCTGTCAGGAAAGAAGTATTTCTGCTCCTCAGCACTAGATTAATTTCACCCATAGCAAACCATGTGCATACCGTAAAATGCAATTTATAATTTCATTCTCTTTTCTAGCATTTGGCCACAAACAAGTTTCTTATGCTGCTCTTGCTTTTCTGGTATGTAAAAAATTGAGGTTTTATTTATGATTATGGAAGAGGATTAACTCACAATTTAGTAAAATGCAGTAATACTTCTGTACATTTGTGTGTATACATATATATGAGCCCATGTCCACAGCCTTGCATACTTTGACTGGATTCAGTACTAATTTATTAAGGTTTCTCAGTCAGGAAATATCCTACTAATATTTATATACTGAGATTAAACTTAAGAACTCTATTTGAGAGCCATGAGGACATCATCAGCATAATTACTACTGTTAATTGTGTTGGAACACTAACATTTAGACAGACTGAAACTTGTCATTTTAAAAAAGCACTGAAGAATTACATGCTAAGCAGACTTTGCAATAGTTGTATACCCTGAATATCTTCTATCAACAGATTTCTAAAATATTATTTATATACATAAACCCTGCTAAAGTGGGATAAGCCAAGGGAAAGTGCAGCTGATGAAGGATGGCTGAGACTACCCAACCTGCTGTTTGAACATAATTGTAGAGTGAGACAGAAACTTGGTAAGAAGCTCTCGCATGGAAATGCATATCCTCTCTGTCCTCTGGAACTGCTGGGCCAGTAGCCAAAACATCCTCTTTGAAAATCAGATACAGATCTGTTTCCAGAAATATGACAGGGTGACAGGACAGTAATATGTCTAGGCTCCTTCAGGCAAACACCATTCAGAAAAACATTCAAAAACTCGTTAGCAATATTTAAATGCTTTTGTAAATCGGGACCCTTAAAGGTCACATTTTTTGCAATGTTTATCTCTGAATCTGCCCATGCAGTTCCCAGCTTTTCTTGCTCTAATAAGGTTTAGCAAAGACAAGAAAAATACTTCTGTGAAGAAGCTCACATGCTCCATGAGGCTCTAGGGCCAAAAGCAATAACCCAGTACTGCAGAGACAGGAGGCTGTGGCACTGGTAGCCAGCAGGACGCTCAGAACCTTGCTGTGTGCACCCTTCCCAGGCTCAGGGGGTGTCTGAATCCAAGCAAACTGCTTGCCTGAATATTCAGTGCTACCAGCAAAACTAGTCCTCGTCCAAGTCTCTGATTAGAGAAAGCCTCCTTTTCCTTTGAAACATCCTTCCCTGCATCAGTGGAACGTGCCCTGCTATAGCTCATAAGGAAAATTCTGCCATCAAGCAACGGGATGGATCCTGTTGGTGTTTACTATAAAATATGTCAATCACCTTAGGATCTGCATCAGCACCTGGTCTGGGCTCTGAATGCTTACAGCTTTTTTGAGAACTCCCTGCCCATGGAAACTCAAGACCTTTCCCTTTCAGATCTTGTGTTGGCAAATTCCCAGACAATGAATTTAAAACATCAACATACAAAATAAAATAATTTGAAGCTGTTTCTAAAACATATGAATAGAATATTTGGAAGATTTCTTTTGTTTTGCCCTTTTTAAAGTTTTGTCTTTATTACACATCCTGATTTAAGTGTATACATCTACAGCTGCTGTAAACAGTACTGAATAATATGAAGAGTTTCTGCAGGCCCTCCTGAAAGATTCTCATGTTTATAGAAATTAAGCTTTGCAGGGATGTTTTTTCTCATAGGGTACACTCAGAATATAAAGAGGAGAAAGTGTGTAAGCTTCAATCGTAGATAGCATCAGATTTTTCTCTGCTGTTCCCTGATGCCCTGTATTTTATATATGATAAACTGAGGACTAGCTTAAATTTAGCAGTGGTTCTCAATGTAGAACATTAACAGTCACATGTTTAAAGAGGGACATGAGAGTTAATCACAGCAGAATGCAGCTGCAGAGTCAAAGCTAAGCCAATAAATATCCCTGCAGAAATGCTCCCAGCTTGTTTTATGTAGAATTAGTAGGGGTTAATTATAGTGTGTGAATATCTCTTGCTGCACAATAGTGTGGGCATCTCATTAGCTATAGTGTTTTACAAAACCACTTTTAGCTACAAAACCTATTTCTTTAAAATAATAGCAATCAGAAAAACAAATCACGTTCCCAGTTCATAATTGGAAGTATGTAAATTATAATTACACCCATTGCTATGGTTAGAGTTGTAGCTTCTGATATGCTATTTTAAAATGGAATTTCATTTTCTGGCTATTTAGTGTTTTACATCTGGTATTCATAATAGAGGATTGTCAGTTAGCTGGAATTAAAAGAATTTTAAAGGACAGCAGGACTTGAACAGTAACTACCTACCCATGCAGAATAACAGCTAATAACAGGTCTATTTACTAATTGACCTGACTTAAACCTTCCAAAAAAACCCCACAAAACTCTCTGCCAAAAAGGGAAAATTATTCAGCAATTCTTCTATCTATAATGTTCTTTCAGATAATAGGACATTTCAATATAAAATGAAGTTACCTATTGCTTTCAATTAGCTTTAACAAAAATTTGTTATGGATGACTTTCAGGATTGACTTAAAAATGACAATTGAAGTACTTTTATGTATTAATTTTGTGACTTCACACTTTTAACATCTCTAGGTTTTAACATTTTCCTTTTTATTTTAATTTCTTAAGCTTTTTTGACTTGCAAAATATAGAATGACAAATTATGTAAGAAAATGCATGACAGAACAAATGGGTCTTCAAATCCAGAAATTAATAAAAAAAGTTCAATTCTCTCTGAGCTTGAACTGTATACACCATTTTAGTTTTCTTCACAGAGCAGGGGAAAAATACATGGTTTATACCTAACATATACATAAAATTACATAGTTGTGACGGCAAGTCATCTTCTTCAGGAATTTAAATTGATTTTGCTACCAATTCCTATTTTAAATATAAGTAAATATAGGTAAATATTGATTTTCATTCTTCAGTAGTGGAAACTGATGAAGTACTGAAAGCCTGAAGCAAATCTGAAATCAGCCTGTACTACAGGCTGTATAACCCAGTGGGGAGAAACGGTACCTCTCCCAAAGGTTTGAAATACCTGGATGTTAGAGACCAACCAGCTGGTTATGGCTGGACACCGCATAACCAGAGAGTTCCAGGACCAGGAATACTACTGGCTCCCTTCCTTTATCAATCCCTGACTACTATCCATTCAAACAGTCTGCCTTTTAGAGACTTTTTTTCCCACCTTCCTGTTTTGCTGGACACTTTTGAAAGTGTGTATAGGAAAAGGGGTATGGGCATTAACTCGTGACATCTTTACAAAACCAGAGGTCAGCTTTTCACCTGCTTCTTTGCAGCTTGGATTAAATCCAGAAAAAAATCAAGAAGATTATTTTGATGAATTCCTTCAAGCCAGGGAATCCCCCTGATCTCCCCAGGGCTAAACATGTGCTGGGCATGGGAACCCTGCTTAAGGCCTGGCTGCACAGAGCTCTATGGAGATGTGCCAGGGGCTTTCACCCCAGGCTGCACCCACAGTGTTCACTGGACACTTGTGTGTGTGACAGAGATCACAGGCTGTTTTTTGGAATATGTATTTCCTGGATACAGAGACTGAGTTGTAATGGGGAGGGTTCTAGTTATGCACTGCACAGAATTGCCACAGCCTTTTAGGCATACAGTTGAAAATATGTTTTTAATGTCTTGCAGATGTGTGAAGCTGGAAATCACTTTATCAACGTAGCATTAGCTCACCAAACCAATTCAGGTCTGTCATTGTATCCTGTTCCTTAACCTATCCATCTTCTTCTGGTGTACAGTAATTTATGCACTTATGTCCATTGAATAAAGAAAGATGAAGTAGTAACCATGCCATTGGTCTAACACCTTCAAAAAAATTGTGACAAGGAAACATTAGCAACACTGTTGTTGTTTCAAAACTTATAGCAAATTTATCTTAATTAGACAGAACAGCAATTTAAGTATGGATTTAAACGCTGAAGTTCTTAAAGCGTGCTGGTGACTGACATAAATGTATTTCATTTTAAATAAGTCTCAAAAACTTCTAAACTATATCATAGAGTTTTTAGACACATTCATCTCAGGCAAAGATGTGCATGCATATATTCAAATACACAGAGATAGACTCATGAATACTTACACAGGTATATATGTATGCTCTTAACAGGCTGGGGTTTCAGCATTTTGTGAAATAAGAATAAAGGTTATACAATATATACTGGAAAGTAAAATATGTTTTTAGACACTAATAGTGTCATTCCCCCACCAGAACACCTCTTTTCAAGAAAATATCACAGTATGATCAACTTCACACACAGAAATCAGTTTCTATTCTGGAATGTTTTCATGCACTGTGGTTAGGAAACTGCTTATGCTATTTCCTGAAAGGGGCCTAAATCAGTTTAAAAGCAGCAAGAGCCAAAAAAAAAAATTATTTAAGTTCTTTCTCACTGGGATAAATGTGGCTTTTGCTACCTCAAAAGATTTCACTGAAACTTTTCTAACAGGTTGTATACCTTGAGAGCATTGGCCCAGGGGATTGCTGTTACATAGGCAGGCTGTGATAAGGCTCAGTTTCCCTCTCCCTGTACTGAAGCTGGTTCTGATTTTCCCCATCCTTTTTTTTCCCCTTTCACAAGGAAGTAGAAGCTGTTTTCCAAGTCCAACCTACAACCCCTTCACCTGGCTCTTCCTGCTGGTATCCTGTCCCAACTATACATATGAGGTACGTGACTTTCTTTTGCTTATATTACTGTTTCAGCCTTTGTCTGCAGAGAATCTGCAACACCCCCATGCAGTTTCCTCTGCACATCAATCCTTGTGCTCCATAAGTCAGAGTCTCCTTGCTCCCACAAGTGTTTCTCCACCAGACCCTCCTTCTCCCTCTAATCACTATCACATGGGCTTTTGTCTGTATTTCCTTCCACTGCTGTCTCCCCTGTGATCTAACGATTTACCACCCATCTCTTCACCCCATACAGCACACTGGGAGGCTAATTTCTTACTACTTTTCCTCTCCCATTTCCAGTACAAGTAGCACACAATTTTTCCATGGGGAACTTTTGGAAACTTGTCATTTTGCTTTACATAAAATGTACAACTAACCGTGCCTTTTTCTTTGCAACAGGCTGGGTCTTGGATTAGCTTCACGGTGATGACACAAACTCTGCCAGGTAAACTAGAAACAGAATGAAGACAGCATTTAAAGTGTTTGTTGAAGAGAATTCTAGAAATCTAAAATTTGCCAAAAACGTTTATAGTATATGAAATAATGCCATCATTATGATAAATAATGATAAATAGAAGATAAACCTCCAAGATGCTTGTAAGAGCAGCCTGCTTAGTAGCATTTATGACTCTTGCTCAGTACTTTGCTGCATCCTTAGAGACCTAAATATTCACGAAACTATGGTCCCTGGGACTGAGCTCTCCAAAACATTCACTTTTTAATTAATTTTCCATTTCAAAATAGAAACCTATAAAAACTACTTGTAAGAAGTAACCCCATGTGGCTTACAAATGAAAAAGGAAATAATTTCAAAAGTGGGTTAAACTGCATCATGCAAAAATTAAATTGAAATTTTGTTTGAAAAAAAAAATGAAATATTTGTGTGTCTTAGGCTTTGGTATGGAAATTACCTGAAAGTTTGGGGACAATGTAGGGCTGTCCCTACAATGGCAGGAGCAGCAACATACGCAGCACACTCATCCTTGCTGTAATTGTCCCAGACGTAACTTGACCGGATGCCAAATGGATGTTTCTGATTAACCACCTCTACATTAATCAAAGGATAATGAATTTGCAAAATGCAAATGCAGTAAAATTATCCCAAATTTGGTGCCTATTTGCTGGACCAGTCAGCTACTGCCTATTTGCTTTAGGGCCGAGCTCTGCCTCCACAGAGCAGGGAGTTACAGCACAGCTCCCTGTCATGGTTGGCAGCCAGAGGTAGAAACAAAGAAGTGTTACAGTTCAGAAGTAAAATAGAAATATGGTCAAGAGAGGCCATGGATTGAGACAGTGCCATGACCAAGGAGGCCCTGTGATATATGGATTTATGGTGAAGTCAGAGGTGGTACAGGGTGTGTCTAACGAATGAACATCATCTGTGTGAACTCTGAGGTGGAGGCTGAGCCTTGGGCTATGGTATATCAGAAACTGCCAGGCTGAGAGAAACTGCAGAGTTGTCTGTGCCCACAGAAGAGACTGCAAATATTTCCATAAACCCTACTGTATTTACAGAAACAGGCACTGAAAGAACACACATGATTGTTTTCTTGAAATCTTTTTCCCTGCTAGTTGGCATCTTTGCTTTCCTGATGGTCATCCAGATGTCTCTGTGGGCCCAGAAGAAACACAAGCTGTATCTGAAGAGATTTTACCCAGAAGTGCGGAGAAAAGCAGCTATGATTCCCATCATCTTCTGAGATTGTCACCACAGTTGCAGCCTGAGCGTACACTTTAAGAGCCAACTCAGAGTTAATGAGCCATTTCATTCAGGAACTAAGTGGATCAGAGGAAAAACTACTGGATATCTTTTTCAGTAAATTAACAGTTCAAGATGAAGAGGTTTTAGTTAAATGCAAAAATTTAGCTCTTGAATTCTTGGTTCCTGCTAAAAGATATGATTTAATTAGATTTTCTGTAATGGAGCTAATTGAAAAGGGACAAGAAAATTGCTTATATTGAATGCTAGATGTTTCGCTGGTGTAAATGGGCACAGATGCTGCTAAAATTAATGAACACGACTTGTCTGCACACATTCAGGTATGGTAATTTTAAGGTCCAGTGTTAGATGTTGAAGAGTGTCTTGGATTTTTGCATCAGATGGTTCTCAGTCTTTTTATTAAATTTCACAGAAAAAGCACATTCTCCTTCAGCTCCTCTAAAGCATCACATCAAAGGATGACCACTATGCTGTGAACACTGTTTAGTCTAGCTTGACAAAAATTTTCTTTCTTTTTTTTTTTTTTTATCAAATCTCATAGCAAATTGTTTAATATGAATTGGCTTAAACTGCTCACTGCAAAGAGGACTGGCTTTCTTTTATTTTTAGGTAGGCAGATTATCCCCACAATCCCAGAAGGGGACCTTTTGTGACCGCTTCCCATCTTGTAACTAATTTGAGGCATAACCTTGGGTACATCATTGAAGCCCACATCCCTTTCTCACACTGAACAGTCTGGAAAGAGCAGAAAGCCTCCTGCACTAAAAAGTGTGTTAAGATCCCCTTGTTCAGTGCCTGACTGCATCCAGACACCATTCATTGTACTTATATGAAGAACTGTGAAATCCTTGGGCACAAGGTGAAATGGAGTATGGCTCACTGTGAAACAGAAAAGAGATGCCAAATGCACTTCAGTCCATATCTGAACCACTTCAGATGGACACTGCTGACAGGCTTCAGCTCCCCTTCAGGCTGGCCAGGCTCTACCTGCTACTTTGCTTACCAGGACATTATTTTTTAAGGGATTCTCTGAGCTTGTTATTCAAGTCCTGAAAATACAGAGTAGCTCCCTTTGCAAATCAGTGCAATGTCATGTGCCCATGTCATGCAGGAGCAGAATTTTTGTTAGGCAGAGAAAAAGAACCAGAATTGCTTCAGCAGGTATTAGGATATGAAGAGCTGGGGCATTGAGTCCAACTTTCATTTGATTTCTGTTGCACATTTATCAATATCTTTTGGTGCCCTTAGGCTGGTGAAAAAAAATCTTGCCTAAAGAGTTTTATAATCATTAGAGAAACACTGGAGTACACAAGCAAGGCAGGCAGTTTGTCTCCTAAAGGCACTGTTGTCTTTGTGCCAGCTCAAGTGTTCTAACAAAGTTAATTTGCCTGGTAAATTGGGTTCACATCTCTCCTCTAATGTCTAACTTGCAACACTTATCCTATTAGCCACTGTAACTCAATTTCATCTTTGTAATGTAAATACATCACTTTCTGTATTTTTTAACTTGTTACCTGTGAAATAAATTTTTACTCCTCTCAACACAAAACCCTAATCAAAGTGAATATCCAGTTCTCTAACCCAGACTGCTAATAAAGATCTATTTTTGAAAAAATTATTTTCTGTACTCTTTAATAGAATACCTAACCCCAATATTTAAAAAAATATTTTCTTTTCCAGACAACGTTAGATGCATGAGTAAAAGCTGTTATCTGGTTATTTTTTTAATCCAGCTACTGAAATACTTTTCCCTTGATGTTTATTAAATATCTTATTTTAGCAATCTTAAAGTAGGAGAGTAACATTAAAATCAATTAATGATCTATTAAATCTTTTGATTGCAGTGGCTACAGCTTTAAGTTAATTCAAGGCATATTTCCAGTGGGGTTCCAATAGCTGGGAACATGGTTCCTATTCAACAGCTTAGATGAAGGAAATACTTCAGGAATTGTTAACTCCCTGTTTATTAGTTGGTTATTCAGTACATGGGGTAAGGGGAAAAAGAGTTTTGACTCCTGAAGTAAATGACTGAAGTTTTAAAATAAGGTGAAAAGCAAAGTAAAGGGTGAGAGCAAGCACTAGGTAAGAACAAATGAAGATACATCGCAGAAGCCTGTCTCAGATAAACGTGATAGATATTTTGAGTTTCACCAGTGGGGTGTTGATGAGCTAAAACTGCTCTGAACAGTGTTAAATGGCTTTACAAATAGTGATAAATCTAACTTCCTGCACTTTCATGGATCTCTCTGTATTACATATCCTCCTCTGATTTTCAGGGCAAGTTCCATGCAATTAGAAAAGATAAGTTAACTTCCTGGAATGGGGGGTCATGTTCTGCTTCAAAACAAAAAGTTTATAAAAATCTCCAGTCTTTTTTTTGATAAACATTTCAGAGGCTTTGTTTATAGACCACCAAAAAAGCCAAACAAAGAAAAGAAACCCACCTAGTTAAAAAAAAGTATTACTGTATAAAAATATCAACAGTGGTTTTAGCCCACAGGAACCATGCACATTTTCAACCAAAACAGTTGTCTTCACACAAACATTTTAATGGGGAAGTTTCTCATAACTGTGCTGAATACATGGAGAAAATGCCTTATTAAGCTCTATATGTCCAGAAGTAAGTGGCCAACAGCAAATTCCTTTGACCGTGTTTTCTCTTAAGCACAGGCCTCATTTCTCAGAGCCAGCACTAGAAGGAAGGAATGGGCCTTCCTTCTACTAAATGTCCACCCCACCACCAGAATCCCACCATGTTTCAAGATCAAAGGAAGTCAACCTCCTATAAGAGCCAGAAGGAGCTCACAGAGGCAAATTACAACATTCCTCACAAAAGGGAGGAGGCAGGAGCACTGAACAGCAGGAAAATCAAGTTGGTTGAAGTTGGAAACATGTTCTGGCTGGCTATGAGGAGCTGCTACAGACCCATGTGTGGGGCAATTGCTGCTTACTCAGGGGGGAAGCCATTGGAACCAAGAGACCACAAATAAAGCAAAATACAGAGACTAGGCAAGAGTTTGGTCAGGAAACATGGAAAAATAAATCAGATGGAGTATCCTTCCTGGCCTGCTCAATAAGGACTGTGTGAATGGCATTGCCAGTGGGAATAAAGTGTATCTCAAAATAATCACTCACTGTTCCATATGGAGAGATTGCTCAGCTTCCAGGTCCTTCCATGCTCACCCTGCAGCTCACAGCTGGGTTTTTGCTGGAACTCTCCAGATGGATGAGTCTCATCTGTCCCAAATTATTCCTTAAACATTCAGATTAAGGAGTCTAAAGTTAAGCCTTCAGATACACAGCTCTACATTTTTGTGGCTGGTTCTTGCCATAAAATGCCAACCTGGAAAAGAGCAGGCACCAGCTCAGGCTTTCTGGTGGTGCAGGGAGGTGTTGTGATGGGGAACTGACATGGCAGATGCTTCTGTATATAACTTGGCAGCCTATACTTGGATTCCCAGTTTGAAAAAGCCCTTAAGACCCAGCCATATGTTTATCTTATAAGATGGTTACCACATCTTCTCAGCTGACAGGACTGAAAATGATCTCTGTGATTTCATCTTTCCATAGGGAAAGTGGAGCTCGAAAGGACACTGAAAGCAGGAGAAGTGAATAAAGGCAGATGGTCATCCCTTTTTAAAGTTGCTATTATCATCAAAATATCTTGTACTTTGCATTGTTTTGTATAAAGTAAGTGACTCCAAATTGGCTTTTATCACACTAGGAACTGAGATAAAACAGCCTGTTATCAAAGCAGTTCTCTGAAAGAGAGCCTGCAGTGTTAACTAAATATAATAAAATAAAAATCACTGAATGTGAAGACTTCTAAAGCACACTATAAGAGGAAAAAAGCTATAGGAAGGCAAGAGACTATTTATCTATTTATAGGTTTAACAAGTGCTGCTGAACTAAAAATTAATTCAAACCATAAAAATCTTTTCAGCAAGCTAATATTTTTCACATGATGCTTTATTGGCTTTCATTTTCTATATTTTCCTAGGCACAAGTGCTGTCTACAAGTGATATTCCTTGTCATTAACATTCATGGAAGCTTTTAGAAAAACACACTCTATGCCTATCCCAGTGTTCAAGAAATAAACGTAGATGAAGAGTTGTGCTGTCACTGAACACAGATTAGTACCTATATGAACAGTATTTTTTTATGAAAGGTCTGGTTTATCATAGGTGAGTGCACAGAGCCTGCTTTACAGCTACAATTAAAGGGGATTTTCACATCACACATGTGTTCAGCATCACAGAAGGATGTTTATGTGAATGGTCTCTGCACATCCTTCAGTCAGCTGTGACTCAAACTTACAATTCCTTCTGCAGGTATTGACTCCAAGAGCCTTTATCATGGTCTTGGTGTTTGGTTTTTAATTTGTGTAGCACACCAGGGACTGTCTTCCACCCATCTCTTCCCTGAGAGGACATTTGAGAACACATTTATTTTCCCATCTTTTTCCATCTTGTCCAACTGGATGAGCAGTTGTGCAGGTGAGGAATATTGGTCACTGTGTGACTGAAATAACATGTGTTGAATTTCCTTGGAATGTAATAGTCAATCTAAAACCACTTTATCAAAAGAAAAGACAAGATAATGGGTCCTGAAATACGTCTGCTTAGGTTAAAAAAAAAATCTGCCACGTATTAACACCTCCACAATACCTGGTCTTCTATTGTGTACCTGCTTTTATGTAACTTCTGAAGCCTTTGAAAACTCAGGAACCAAGCACGAGGAAATCATTTATAGTTAAAAGAAATATGATAAAGCTATTCAATAATACTAATGAATTCCATATTTAAAAAAGCAAACTTCACATCTTTTGTCAAAGAAATCTGATTGTTAGCCAGTTTTTTCCTAACACATATTATTATTCCTGTGAAAAAGTAATACAGCTCTATGACTGATTCCTTTCAGTATTCTGAGTACCTGGCCATACTCAATGGGAAAAGGCTTTTGTTTCAAAATTGCAGGTTTCACCATATGGGGACTCTTTTAAAGCACTACAAGACAGGCTCCAAAGAAAACAGACTACCACATCAATCACTTTTTAACTCTAATTCATACTGAAAAGTTGATGAGTTTTCAGTTGATTGATGAAACTGTGACACTAAGTCACAAAAGAAACAAATATTTAAAAAGGTGTCCCTCTCCTCAAGGTAAGAATAGGGAAAAAAGGGTACTTTTCATCTTTTCTATTAATATTATGAGGCCATTTCCAAGATTCTAGGGCGTCTTTACAGAAGATCTTGATTAGAGATCTGGAAGGAGCAGAATGTGGTTGCACTGCACTTTTAGGGATTAACAGCTATGTCTTTTTTTGAAAGAAATTTCACTCTTTCTGACAACCGAGCTTGACAGAAATGGATTAAAGATGACACATCTCCAATATCATATCTAATGAAAAACAAAGCACCTATTCTTGAACCAACAGGGAATTTTTGTCACATATACACACACTCACTGTATTCTTCCACCCTCTGGTCTATATCATCTCTTTGCATTGGACTTGTATGCCTGTCATTCAAACTCTTAATTACTTACCTTTTAGAGCTTTGATATACACAATTATGTCACAGGAAAACCCTTTTATTTCAAAACTCTGAGGATGTAGAATCTTTTGTACGCTGTTAACCAAATCCAGCCCTGTTGCCCCATATATTCATTAATACTTGGCTGCCATTTTTAGGTATCCTTCCAATGTGAAGCACAATGTTCATCTATATTCAGAGACTTGCCAAACATCCCACCTTAATCCAGTTGCAAGCCCAGGGCTAATCTTCAAGCAGTGAGTAGCAATACCTGGCACAGTTTGAGCCCTTAAAATGCTTCTTCTTGCTTCCTTTGCTCTGAACCTCTGAAGGGCTGGAGCTACTTGGGACTTCTCTCTGCAAAAGCAGAGGTTTAATTCTTATAGGTTTGCATTAGTATCTTGCTATGAAATTATAAACCTGTAACAATAGAAGCAGCAACACGTTTGACACATTTTCTTGTTTAGCAGGCCCTAGAAGGTAAAAGGAAGATAGATATTGTGCTTTTACAGATACAGGGACAAACTGAACAGGGCTATGATAATTTGAGAACTACTTCTACTTCACTCAGGCTTCTGCTCATGGGCTCAGCACCTTGGGCACCTCTCCCAGGAAAAGGCAGTGCAATAAAGATTTCCTGAAATCTAATAAAGGTGATCTTGAAGATGGATCTAGAATTAAATAAAGAGATAATATATTTGATCACATGCAAATATTTGCTGGAAGCTGTACCTCAAACACTTTTGCAATTGGCTTGGAAATCCCAGTTTTAGAATAATTGTCACACACATGACAGACTTTCACTGAGTAATGCAAGTTACACAGGGAATTACTGCATGACCTGCTACTGGATCATGGAATCATAGAATATACTGAGTTTTAAGTCATCCCCCAGAATCATCAGATCAAACTCTGAGCCCTGCTCAGGACACCCCAGGAATCACACCCTGATATCTGGCCTGATAGCCAGAACCTTAGGGCACACACAAGCTGAATCCAAACACAAGATGTGCTTACCCATCTAAATAAGTAGCCTACCAAAAACTTTTTCATCCTTGAGCAATTAATTGATGTTTTCTTTTC